CCGCAGTTTTCAGACAACGTGCCTTTGTTTTTTCTGACTAACCTCCGCGGCATCAGGACTAGAACCTGTTCTGGAGGTGACAGACGTTTGTTTTCAGTTTTAAGATGCTTCACTTTTAAAGTGACTCACCTGTCGATCTGCCAAGACAAACCGTGATGCTAGCATGCCGACGTCAATCAGCAAACTAACTCAAGATTATAAAGTTTTCCTATAGAAGTACTTTTTCGTTTTCTTTACAAGTAGACCTGTAAGTACATCTCTCTTAAGACTTGTACTCATGAGACATCCATGTTTGAATTCAACTTTTTCCTTTTATATTCAGACTTTATTTTGAAAATAACCAGAATCGGTTCAGGAAAATGAACATAATTAGGTGTATCAACTCAAGGCCTCTAAATGTGGGTCGCGCTTTCCCCTTCGCCATCACAGCACGCCCCCAGACGTTCATTTTCAGCATTAATGTCCAAGTCACTATCCCAAATGCAAAGTACGGCGGTGGCAGCATCATGTTGAGTAGAACTGGTTGGAGCTACTTTAGTCTAAAAATCTCTCCAAACGGTTTGATTCGTTGTTTTCAGCCACGGGGGGAAAAATTTGGATCGTTTCTTTCAGCCTGTTGATTTTCTGTGAGCAGCAGCGGGTGGGGGAGGGGCGGCTCACACACTGACTCCAAACAAGCACCTACATCGAGCTGAAAACTTACTTGAGTTGGTTTTCTTATTTTAAGTGCAGTATCATTTCTATTAGAAACTGGACCAAACACAGTTGGTAAGGTTTTGTGTTTTTGCAATAATTAAAATTAGCTCAATAATTTACGTTTGCATAATAATTTTTCTCTTTCTACCAAAAACTGGATGATAAATCTTCAGTTTGGTGTTTTTTGGTCTTATTTTGAGGACAGTTTTGTTTAGACTTCATAGTTCATTATTTGTAGTTTTTTGTTTATTTTGGATATTTAAACTGTCTTCCAGTTAGCATTAAATATTGATTAGAATTTAAAGTTTATTGATCTTTCAGAATGTTGCATTATATTAGTTGAAAATGGTCTCAAAACAACAATACTTTCGCGATAACGTCTGATAATTTATCGCTTTCTGCTTAAACGTTTTTATGTTTGGCTCCTTCTCGTCAGATTAGAGCGAAGCCTGAATTTAGGGTTCAGTTTGGAGTATTTTTGCCACCAGCAATCATCTCTCCTCAGACGAGGAGCCTCTAATTTCACGAGCTCCACAGCTGGTTCTGTTGGCGCAGCAAACGGGTTCAAACGGGTTCCATCTGCTGTTTGCATTTCTGGGTATTTTAAGCCTCCGCGTCGCCGTGTCCGTAAATACTGAAGCTTTTTCTGCAATGCAGCGCAGCTTCAGGGCAGGGGAGACGTTCGTTTATGTTAATCAGATTAATGATTGTGAGTTTGACACCGGAGCTCATGAGGTCCGGTCCGTCACGCCCTCTTCTTCCTCCTCCTCCTCCTCCTCCTCACTGGCCTGACCCACTTTTCAATAAAGCACAAGAATCTCCGTCTGCGCCAGCTTTCTCTCCCGTCCAGATTGTGACCTGGAATCGGTTCTGATCCTCTTTGCTCTTCTGATCGGCGGTGATTGTAAAATTACCGTAATAATAATTCCGTAGATTTAACTTGAAACTGCGATTCACACTGCAGAAACACATTGTGAAAAGCTCTATTGGCTTTATTCCTGCATTGATCTCAACTGTAGGTCAGTAATTACACTGCAAAACAGAATTTTACCAAGTATTTTTGTTTAGTTTCCAGTGAAAATATCTTAGTTCACCTGAAATAAGACAAAAACCTCGAAGTAACTGTTCAACAAGACATAGGAGCTTGTTTTAAGTAATTAAACGTTCAGTTCCACTGGCAGATTATTTCACTTGTAGCAAAATATTTTTGCCATGTTCAAAGTTAAATAATCTGTCAGTGGTGCAAGTACGTCTTTACAAGTTCTTATATTTTGCAGAAAGTTTCTTCCGAGTTAGTACACTTAAAATAAGATAAAACTAAGATATTTTCATTAGAAAATAGACAAAAATGCTTGATAACATTTTGTTTTTACAGTGCATCAGGCTCTTCTAGATAAATTTGTTGCCTTTACGATTCAAATGTTCAGAAATTTATTTGTAATGAAGAAAAATTGGAGGCCACATTTTGTTTTCTGTGAAATTAAAGCAAACATAAAGGCTGATTTGCTTCACAGAGAGTTGTTAGCTGACATGCTAGCCTAGCGTTAGCATGTCTCCTCTTGGTCTTCATACGACTTGTTGAGCGTTGAGTTACCTGATACTTTTGCATGAGTTACTGCATCAATGCAGCGTAGCATGGAGATCAGCCTGTGGTTGTGCTGAGGTGGAGAGGAAACCCAGGTGGCTTTGATCACAGCCTTGATGTCTGTTTTCCTCCAGACTCCCGGATCCTGATTTCAAACTGAAAAGGAAACTTCACTTTCTTCTGAAAAGAGGATTTTGGACCTAACATGAGCTAGCTAGCTTCGAATGAACATTATGAGGCAAACAACTACGCAGAGTTGGTTAGCTTTGAATACAAACTGGTTGAGCACAATAGCTAATCTTAGCTAGCTAGCTTTCAACACAAATTAACTGGTGCTAATAACCTGGTGTTGGCTAATTTTGGAATACAACTGAAATCAACTGCTAATCCAAGCTAGCTTTGAAAACAAATTAGCGGAGACCAACAGCTACTCTAAGCTAGTCCACTTTGAATGCAAATCATCTTTGGCAAACAGCTACCTGGAGTTAGCAAGCTTGAATACAAATGAGCTCAAGCAAACAGCCAATCTGATCTTGCTAGCTTTGGACACAAATGCTGAGGTCAACCGTTGAGATGAACTAGCTACGTTTTGATAACAAATTAGCGGAAGCCAACAAATAATCTGAGTCGGCTTCCCAGATCACATTAGCTGTTGGCCTCGGTCAATTTAAAGTGGCACAAAATAAAAACTGCTTTATTAAAAATGAGTGAGCAGCAGCCAGTTTAGACGCCCACACCTTTTTAAACAGCTCTGATTTGTTCATTCCTGTTTTTCTAGCTCCCTTTGATTCAGTTGCTATTAATACAAACAAACCCACTGTTGCATAATAACGATTTGTAATTTCTCCCAGTGGTTGTGAATGAGTTTTAACGTTTTGTGCCGCAGTGAGGAGCGATCCATGGTGGAGGCAGTGGCTCATCGTCAGGTTCCAGCACGTTGCAGGGAGAGGTCTCTGCAGCTGTTGGCATATTTTACACCCATCTGTGGAAAAACACCCACTGGGCCGTGGGTCTGTGAGGTTTACCCTCCGTCTCTGAGGCATGATATGTGCAGCCTGAGCTTTTAGGGATAATCTTAGATGTCACATGTCTGCGCAGATACAGACACACCTATGAGTCACGGGTTCTCGCTTGTGGTGCCACATTCTTTCTGCCGCCGATTGCTTTTGTTGTAGCAGAACTCATGAGGAGCATCCGCGTTTATTTACAGCCGCCGGCGCATTGTTCCCTGCAGATCCTCACCAAGGTTACGCTTCTGCACCGAGGCTGCTCCCAGCACCGATGCAGTTATTTACAGTGAGAGGGAGCGTTGTGAAACAACCGGGAAGTCAAGTTGAGCCTTGCAAAACACAATCTCATGCAGAAACTATTCGACTCAGACAGTAGCTTTAAGAAGAAAGAGAAACGGAAAGACTGGGAGCCTTTGTTTTTTCTATAATTGAGTAAATTGCTGCAGATTAACGTCCTGCCGCAAACTGAATAGTTGTTGGCCTCGGTTAATGTATTCTCTAAGATAGCTAGCTCATCTTAACCGTTGGGCTTAGATAATTTGATCCCAAAGGGAAATTAAGTGTCGTAGCTCATAGAAATTCAGATTATTCACAGACGTATTGTAGAAAGTGATGGCTGTTGACAGGAAAGACTTCTTGTAACTGTCTGAATTACACAGACTCTGAAGAAACCAGTTGGTTTTAAATCATTTGTATCCAAAGTTTATCAACGATTACCAACAAATATTATGTATCATCCATGCACATCAAATTATTTATCTACGTTCTGTTATTATGTTTCAAGAGCAACTCTACACAGGTCGGGTTTTAGCCTTCATTTGAAAACTCTGTGTTTTGACTGCTTTGTGGTTTTCTGAAAGTTTGGTCCAGATTTGTGGCACATAGAGGCTGAATGCTGCTTCTGTTTTTCTGCAAACACAGATATTTACTGAAGCTTAACGCCACAAGGAAAATGAACAGAAACAGAAATGCTACTTTTTCCAAAAGGATTGTGTTCTGAGCAGGGAGTAGATTAGGATTAGCGTCAGTCAAAGGCACCAGTTGTACCATCATACAGACACTAAGCTGCGATAGTCACTGTGGTGACGCTCTTCTGGTTTTAGCAGAAGTAAACAAACACTTAAGATCCCTTTTAAAATGCCTATAGCTGCCTGTTTCAATGGTTTAAACACCAAATATGCCCTGATATGCATTAATAAGCACAATCTTTGTTCTCACACTGCAAAAGAAAAATTATTACAAAGTATTTTTGGTTTAGTTTCTACTGCAAATATTACAACTGTTAGACATACATCATATAAAACATAATCAATATTTAAGTTTTTTCTCTTTTCAGTAATTTACCACTTTATTTTTTCCTGTCATATTAGAAATCACTTTAAATTTAGTGTTAAAATGTGAAAAAGTTTAACATTGTTGCAAGGAACGTTCCAGGGATATTGGATCACAGCAATTTCTTGACGATTATATTCACCTTAATGATCCTTAAGGAGTTTTAAACTGCTTGTTTTGATTGGAAAATGCCTTTTCTTTGTAGAATCTGCTGGTTTGCTTTTCAATTTAAAGCTTTTTGTTTCTTTGTTTGAAACTCCTTCCAGGTTGATCTTTTTACGTTTTTACTGTTTAAACCCTGAGGCTCAGCATCACAGAGCTCTTACCAGGAACGTTGTGCTGCTGTTGAAGCTGTGAATCCCTTTCGTTCTGTGCAGTCTCGTGTGCCGCCGCCATCATTCTGTGCTGCAGGGCCGACACCAACATGTCTTCCAACGGAGACGTCAGCGACCTCGGCAGCTCCGACAGCTTCTGGGAGGTACGAATACAACACATTTAACATTCCTGCTGCCTTGCTTTGCTTTGTTTGTTGTGCAAAGTTCAGATTTTGCATGTTTTCATGCTTCCATTAGGGTTTCTACTGCTTCTTCTAAAAAGGCAACCTAAGTGCTTAGAAAACCCACTCAGTCGTTAATTTGGCAGAAAATTTATTTATTTCAAAAACTTGTTTAGAAAATCGTTAAATCTCATTGCCCATGCACTGTGCCGTTACCAAGCAGCCAGAGCCTAGCTTGGCTCATAACCTAGCAACCCAAGCACATTTGGTCAGCTGGTTTTATTGCTGTATGCGCTGTACAATGGCTGCTTGTTGACATCCAGAAACCCCTCGATGCATTCCTGTTTGTGCAGGAGGCGCCACTTCTGCTTTTCAACAATGTACGGTTCTATAATTGGTCATCTGCTTACAGCCAGTTTCAGTGTAGATGTTGAGTTAGAGAGCGTAAAATCTCATGATACAAGAATGACATGCAAAAAAAAAAAAGAACTTTTGTATAAATCATAGGCGGATGCTAACCTGTTCATTACCTTTAACTTCTGGGTTTTGCATAAACTGTGGCTTCCTGATGTAATTTTATTTCTGTGTCTTTGTTCTTGTGCAGCCGGGTAACTATAAAAGGACGGTGAAGCGGATCGACGACGGCCACCGGCTGTGCAACGAGGTCGTTAGCTGCTTCCAGGAGAGAGCCAAGATCGAGAAGAGCTACGCTCTGCAGCTGAGCGACTGGTCCAAAAGGTGGAGGGGCATCGTTGAAAAAGGTCCATCATCTCAGTAGCAATGACGGGTTCAATGACGGGAATGCGCTAGTAGCATTACCGCTAAATTTTAGGGCTAAATTTTAGCTTAGCTCTTTTTGCTACCTTTGCTTCCACTAAATTAATTTTTTCTGATAAACTTATCACATTGTTTATAATTTGTGTTAAATTTCTTAAAGTAATTTTATTTTCTTTTTAGAACTGCACTGAATAGTTTGTATTGTTGGGACTGCTTTATTATTTTCTCCACTTATATTTAGTGCTTTAGGGTTAGAACAGCTAAAGTTATAGTTAACGATGTCCACCACTAATTAATGGAAACTTTTACCCTTTTTGTTTAGAAATGCGCAAAAGATAAATCGTTAGCTTAGCGTTTTTTCCTCCAACAGGGCCTCAGTACGGGACTCTGGAGAAAGCGTGGCACGCCTTCATGCAGGCGGCCGACCGCCTCAGCGAGCTGCACATGGAGCTGCGGGAGCAGCTGGCGGGCGAGGACTGCGAGAAAGTCCGCGACTGGCAGAAAGACGCGTTCCACAAGCAGATGATGGGAGGCTTCAGGGAGACGAAGGACGCAGACGACGGGTTCAGGAAAGCTCAGAAACCCTGGGTCCGCAAGCTGAAGGAGGTGCTTCTGTCTGTCCACCCGTCCTTTCATTCAGCCACTTGCTTAAAAAACAATAATTTACCAAAAAACTCTAGATTTTACATTTGAAAGAAAAAAACGTTCCTTTCAAATGTGCATCAATCTGTGTGCATCAAGGTGGAGTCCAGTAAGAAAAGCTACCATCAGGCCAGGAAGGAGGAGTGGACCGCCGTTTCCAGGGAAACGCACGCCAAGGCTGACCCGTCCAAATCCCAGGAGGAAGTCCGCAAATTCACGGTCCGGGCCGAGCGCTGCAACCAAGAGTCCGAGAAGGTACAAAGCTGAAACGCACACACCTGGAGTCCAGTTTACTCTGCTTCAGTCCAACTTCAGTCCAGAAAGTCCGGTCCGTTTGGGGAGCTGTGAACACGCAACCGACCCAAACATAAGTGAACTCTGGTGGCAAACCTTGGTGTTGGTTTGGTTGAAGTGAACTCTTGTCTGGTTTTAATTTTTGTCTGAACCACACAAGAGGGTCACATATCAAACACAGGAAATGGACTACAGCACAGAGCATTCTGGGAAAATGCAACCAAAACAAACATGGCAGCCTTTTTTTTTTTTTTGCACAAACCATGAAGAAGAAGATGACAGGAAGTAGTTGGAGGATTATGGCGCTGCATGTTTTTTAATTACGTATCACATGAACAAGTTTATTCACTCCGGATTTTAATTGTATTGTTAAATTTCATTTAAGCACCACAAGTGCAAATTTGTGTAATTGACAAAGTTTCATTTCATCAGTGGTTGTTGGTGCAGCGCCCCCACAGGCGAGGAGGGAACAGGCTTTTCAAATGCTTTGGTTGGTTTGACACAGAAAATGTAGCAAATATTGGTCCCCAACTGAACTGAGTCTACCGGACATGAAAACACCCTTAGCATCCCGGGAGGAGCCCCAGCCGTCCCAGTCCGGATGTGCCAGTGAGTCCAGTAAAACAAACCTGCCTTGTCTCTGCCTTTTAAAACACGACTGGGCTTGTATCGCCTTGGTTTCGGCTCGGGACAAACCCAACGGCGGGACGGAGAAACTGAAGAGAGGAAAGAATCTGATGAGTTCAGACTCGGCTTGGTGACACTTTCCCTCATCCTGACGTCACTTAATTATTCTGAAGCTAAATCACAAATGGCTGAATAGAATTGTAATTGCAGCAGTAAGAATAGGAGAGTTTCAGTCTGCAGCGGCTGTGAGCCACCACACCTACAGCCCGATAAAATGAAACTTTAAGAAGAACTCGGGTTGTTTACACAGCAACGTTTGTGGTTTCTAGCAGCATAAGGGGAATTACAGATCCTTGGCTGCACCTTTCCTCGGAGGAACCTGCTAGAGGATTTTGAAACCTGAGTGGCTATTCAAATAAACTGATATAACCACAATACTTCCCATAACAGCCACAATAAAATAAAATGGTAATTGGAAACCTCTGATCAGCCTGGCTGGAAGAAAACAAACGGACCACAAAATGACGGGTTGCATTTGATCCAGATCTTCAAATTACATTTATTATCAGACACATTTTGTGTTTCCAGTGGAAATAAAGATTTCATAAATCTATTAGTTTAGAAGAATCTGCAGAATGATCGAGTTGAGTCAAAGTATTTTAGATGTTTAACTAAAGGTGATCAAATGGACCCAAATGTGTTTTAAATGGAACCGATCATCCAGATGTTTTAATCTTCAATTTATGTGCTTATTAAAGCAACCAGTTGTTTTTTTGGTGTCTGGAAGACGAGCCACTTCAAAAATGTCCTGGCTGTTGAGTTACCTAGCAACCCCAGCCGAGCACAGACCCGTTACCTAGCAACCCCAGCCGAGCACAGACCCGTTACCTAGCAACCCCAGCCGAGCACAGACCCGTTACCTAGCAACCCCAGCCGAGCACAGACCCGTTACCTAGCAACCCTTGCGGACCTCCAGCACATTTGACCAGCTGGTCAAAGAATTATTCACAATTCTTGCTGATTGTGCAGAAGGTTTGACTTCTGCTTTTCAAGGATGTACGCATCTGTTTTCAGCCGTTTGTATTTTCGGGTGTCAACGTTGAGTTGGGGGTCGCGGCCAGCAGCGGTTTGAGTTTGAAGTGACAAACGGCCATAAAAAGACTCAAACCAGACTAAGAATTATTTTGTAATGCAAAGCCTAATATGTCACCTTTTAACTAGGGCTGGATAATAAATCAATAACAATATAGACACATGGTCAATATCAATACATCGATTGGAATATTCACTGAACTCTGATCCAGAAACGCACTGCTTTCTGGGAGATGTAGGCAGAGGAAAGACTTTAGCGGCTCCAACGCTCAGCTAGCTTAGCTGAGAGCTTGAGCCTGACTCTCTCCCATCCTTTGGTTGCCTAGCAACTCTCCCATCCTTTGGTTGCCTAGCAACAACCTGTTGAGTAACTGGCGCAGCAGCAGCTTCAGTTTTTCCACGAAAGCCTCATAACTTGCTTGAAAATAAAAAACAACAGTGTGGGTTAAAAACTGGACAAAATCAAAAACTTTTGTTTTTATTTCAGTTATTTGAAACAAAAAACTAATCAATAATTTTCTATATCGACTGATATAGAACGTCTATATTTTTGGGGGGTTTTTTGTCCAAAAATTTGCGTTTAAATAATGCTTTCAAAATAAAAAAGCAGCCATTTGCTGTGAGTTTTTATTTCGACGTTTTAAATGATTTCTAACTTTTTTATCTTGTGTGTGTGGAAATAAAAAGGTTTTCCATCACCGTAGCCGGTGTTTGGTCGCTCAGAATGACAGTGTTGTGACTATTCAGACACTTTCATTCTGAGGAAGTTTAGTTGTGTGTTTGTTTTGTAGGCGAAGGATCGCTACGCGAAAGCCCTGGAGGATCTGAACCGCTGCAACCCTCGCTACATGGAGGACATGGAGCAGGTGTTCGACCTCACGCAGGAGGCAGAGCGGAAGAGGCTGCGCTTCTTCAAAGACGTCCTGCTGGACATCCACACGCACCTCGACCTGTCCGCCAAAGACAGGTGGGAAGACGTTCACTTCCTCTGGGCCGCCGACTCAGAGCGAAGGCATGCAGCCCCTGGTGCATGTGGGAATATGTGTGTATGTACACAGAGGTTAATACAAGACCTGAACCGTCGTCCATTAACTGTTGACCTCTGGTTTTATTTAAACAGGCTCAAGTTGCCATGGTAAAGTCCGAGTAAACAGGACAAGTAACTTTACAGTATTTCAACAACTACATATTTTCAGCAAAGTGCCTGGTTCTGCTTTTCATGTCCTTAATCTTGATGCATTTTAAAATTTCTCTGGAGCTGTCATGTTTTCTGATGCTCTCTTTGGATTTAATCAGAAAATTTCTGAAGCAGGTGCATTTATTTAAAACGTTTAAACTGAAACCTGAAGGCCTCTCTGCTGCCCCCTACTGCATGCTTATTTTTCAGGCAGTTTCAGAAAAGGTAACAGGTGATTAAACTGTGGCTAACTTTAGATTATTGGGGTCACAACTCAAACAAAAGGGATTTTAGATTATATTTCTTTAGTTTATATGAATCTGCAAAAAAAAAAAAAGTCAAGTAATTAATATGGTTAATTTTTAAATGTTTTTTCTAATTTATTTGCAGTTTTTGGTTAAAATTTGCCTGATACTAGTTTTACTAAGAGTAAAACTAGTTTTAAAGTGAAACTTCCTCAGTGCTAAATAAATGCCCAGTCATATAACTTTCACCAAAAACACTTTCTAGAATCAAAGGTTTTGGAAAAATATATTGCAAAATGAAACTCAAACTTTATCATCAGGGACTTGGATAATTTTTAAGAATGTATTAAAATTAAATAGAATAACTTTAAAAGTCTTGAAAATATTGAATAAAAACAACAAATTTTGAAAAAAAGACCCCTAATCTCTTACTAAGACTTTAGAAAAGTGCAAAAAGACAAAACCTTGGTTCAGATTAATCACAGGAAGGACTTGATTGTAATGGCTTTATGGTTTTAATCAACAGCTTTAAGAACCTGCACCAGGATCTGGGTCAGACCATCCGAGCTGCCAACGATGCTGAAGACCTGCGGTGGTGGAGGAACACCCACGGACCGGGGATGAGCATGAACTGGCCCCAGTTTGAGGTGTGGAAACACACACAGATACACACACACGCACACACACAGAGAACTGTGAAAAATCGGGATGCAAACAAGTAATCAACTTGCAACCATTTTATTTTTATTTTTTTTAATTAATGGTTGGTTAGATTAAAACTAGTTCCAATCGATTCACTAATAACATTCGCTTAGACCTTAATGTCGATGTTGTAGTTTGGCCTCCATCCAGCAGAGGGCGCCGCTGCTCAGCCTTATTAGCGCAGCTGTTGATACAGAAACAAAGATCAGAACAGAGAAGAGAAACAGTCTAAGAGTCCAATATGGGACGAAAAATCCACTTTATTTGGTTTTATTTTGAAACAAACTCTCGACAAGCTGCTTTATTTTAATAGCGCTTTATTCAGACGAAACTGCATGAAGGAGGAGCAACAACAAACTACTGTTGTGCTACCTGTTGACAAAATATCAGGAGGTAACGGATGTAAATGGGAAAAAAGTTTTA